GCAGAACACGATTAATGTTCTCACGGGTGTGGCTCTGAGAAAAATGAATTTTTGCACTGTCCACGAGCAGCGAGTTAATAAAATTCAACCTAGGTATAAAAAGAGGAGACCTTAGAATTCATTTGAGAATTTGAAATGGATTCGTCGTAAATTTGTCCGTAAAAATTAGCCTAATTTGTACTTTATCAGAATTATTAATGTATTCATGCCGTTCTTGAAGTCAATGATTACATTCATGTATTCATTCAAACTAGAGACCCACAAATGATTTCGGCCGCAGGATATTTGGGCATACGTCTTCCAGGAGGATGAATTTAACCAAGATTCCGTATTTTCAAATGTCAAATTTTCATCTTCCTTTAATTTTATAGATAAATAAGAACTCACAAACATTATCTTGTGAAATTCTGGAACATTGATTTTGATGCGATGACGCAGAATTTCAGGAAACTTTGTATCATTGCAGTGCACATGCAGTTCGTCACTTTTTGGTGAGGTGTCTTTATAAGTGAGAGTTTCTTGTCTTCACCGGAGTGTCTATTTTTTTTTTTTTTTTTTTTTTTTTTTTTTTTTTTTTTTTTCATTTTGGGAAATCCAGATGAAATCCTGATTTTTCCTGATTTTAGAATGCTAAATCCTGATTTCATAATTCTTCCAAATCCTGATTTTTTTCGGAGAAAAATTGGCGAATGTAACTTCACAAAAATAGCTCGATAAATAAAATCTGATCGGACGGCCGACTTTTCTCAAATCCTGATTTTAAAACCTAGTTTTCCTCAAATCCTGATGAAATCGGGAATAAATCCTGATTGACCTCAAATCCTGATAAAATCGGAAAAATTCGGATGCTAGATACCCTGTTTACATACTGCCGTCTTGAGGGAAAAAGCGGTGAGTGTACAGTTGAATGTTGTCGAATTTTTTCCTGATAAATATTAATTTCTGACAATGTTCATGAGTACCTCTCTTTGAAATTTTCAAATACGTTGGATTGCGAAAGATAAAAGCTATAAAATTCAGATAGAAACATTCTAACTGGTCCATAAAATCTGAATTTTATCAAAATCTGTATGTTTATTGTTGTGATGGCATGGCAGGGTAAGTGAGTAGAGATATTTGAGGCGCCCTCGGGACGACGGCGTGGCAAGGGGTGAAATCAGCGGCCGCGGACTCCGGGCAATAAATTTGATCGGCTAAGTCCGACACTAATTAACGGGCATTAACCCTGCACAGAAGCGAGGCTTGCAAGGGTAGGCTGGCAGCAACACATTGCGAATAAATCAAAGGAAAAATTGAGTTGAGCAACTTCACAAGTGCCGCGCCAGTCCGCGGTCTCAACCCCTCCTGCGCGAGCCTCCGCTACTCCAATTCGCTTCCAGAGGGCGCTGCGTTGCGGCATCGCTTCAAAGCCGAACAATCAAAGGAATTTCTCCCACTCAACAATGATCCACATTCCCACAGTCGAGGTTTTCCATTTATTAATTTCCGTCAAAAGGCAAATTCGAGCGAGTAGAATGGGTTAAATTTTTCACTTACCGCAGACAGTGGCGGATCCACAGTGCGTCGAAGGGAGGGGGCCCGGGGGGGGGGCTTCCCCGAAAATTTTTATAGTAACAGCTCCTCCCAGATCGAATTTAAAGCAGTTTTATCATACAATTTTTGCATAATTTGAAAATTAAAAATTGACGAAAAGAACGTCTTTCAGCATAATTGTATATTAGGATATGGGTAAGTTTATAGGAGCACATGTTTTCTCTCCCTCTTTCCCCCGTTTTTCCTTTTTTCTCTTCTTCTCTTTCAGCTCATGGGCGCGCCATGCCACCATACCCCCCCCCCCCCCCCCCC